GGAAGCAAAATAAGAGCATGACAGGCCAAATCCACAAAACGGGTCTCATACTGAGTAATAGTCATACTGCCTTACTGGAGACGCTCGAACTGACGGCGATGCTCCTTTCTCAATGTGATAGGCAGAAAATTCTCTAGGAAGAGCTGAGAGAACTGGTCCCAAGTAAGAGCAGGCGACCCAGCTGGTCTGGTCAACAAATAATCCCTCCACTATTTCTTGGCGGAACCAGTCATCTGGAATGCAGCAAATTCGACCCCATTGGTCTCCACTATACTCATGTTCTGTAGCACCTCATGAAAACTGTCAAGATAATCATGTGGGTCCTCAAAAGTTGCACCATTAAAGTGAACTGGAAAGAGCTTGGTGAACCTGTCCATCCTCAATAAGCCCTCAGAAGACATAACTGGTCCATCACCGGCCTGTGCCACAATAACCGACTGAACTACTCTGACTGGGTGAGCTGCTGGAGTCTGATACTGGGGAGCCATCTACTCCAAAGTGTGGGTAGCAGGAGTCTGTGCTCCTCCTCCAGCCTGAGAGACAATTGGTGCCATAGGGAATGCGCTAGTCTGGGACACACTCTCCATAAGGCCCACCAAACGGACCAAAGCATCCTGAAGCACTGGGTGGTAATGAACCCCTCCAGGACCTGAGCTAGCCCGGTAGGTACAGTCTGGGCTGGAACCTCGTCGTCAAACTCTACCTGAGGCTCTACTGCTCGGGCTCTGGGCTGAGCCCTGCCCCTGCCTTGGCCTCGGCCTCGACCTCTGCCCTTTGTAGGAGCTGCCACTGGAGGCTTTGGCAGCTACTCAGCTGAAGATGCGATACGTGTTCTCGCCATCTGCGAGAGAATAATAGTAGAAGAGTTTAATTAGCATTGAGAGAATAAAATCGCACGACAGAGAAGAATAGAAGTGAAATTTGTTCCTAAACTTCATAGCGTCTGGAAGATAAGTACAGACGTCTATGTACCGATCCTCCAGACTCTACTAAGCCTGCTCGTGAATTGTGAGACCTAGGCAACCTAGTGCTCTGATACCAATTTGTCACGATTCGAAATTCTCACCGTTGGGACCATGATGGCGCCTAACATTCCACTTGCTAGGCAAGCCGACGTTAGAGAATTATTAAGCCAATCCTTATTCAATTCAGTAAATAACAACAAATAAGCTAAAATGAAATACAGCGAGTCCGGAATAATATAAAAACTTCATTAATTACTACCACCGGATCTGGAGTCACAATTCACGAACTTCTATGATTTACTACAAGTAAAAGTCTGAAAGAAAATATAACTGTTTGAACGAAAGAAACAGAAAAAAAAACTGAAAAGATAGACGGGGACTTCAAGGTCTGCGAACGCCAATAGATCTACCTTGAGTCTCTGATGAACCAGTCCGAGCTGCTACGCCTCTCGATTAGCTGGGACCAATACCAAAATCTGCACAGGAAGTGCAAAGTGCAGTATCAGTACAACCGATCCCATGTACTGATAAGTGTCGAGCCTAACCTCGACGAAATAGTGACAAGGCTATGACAAGACACCTACATAACAAACCTGTGCAATATAACAGTATATGTACAAATAACAGCTAAACATGTACTATTGGGAGGGGGAAACATGCTGAGGGGAATACGAGATAGAGAACTACAATAGAATGGTAACTTGAACAGCCAATATACTATGAACCAATAAGAACAAGTAAACACAGTAAAGGAAAAATGCACAGTATCACCCTCCGTGCTTTTACTCTCAACCTCACCATAAAATCAATAGAAACGGCACGACATCACCCTTCTTGCATTAACTCTCATAACATGGCACTACATCACCCTTCGTGCATTAACACTCACAATATAGCACGGCATCACCCTTCGTGCGTTAACACTCATAATATGGCACGGCATCACCCTTCGTGCATTAACACTCTCCCTTAACATAATGCAATTAACAAATAACAACAAGGAGATAGAATAACAAGTACAAGCCTTACTTCAACATTTGGTTCCACAATATCAACCTCAACTTCAGAATCAATACTCAATTATCACCACAAGATCAGTAAACATGATAAGAACGGTCAATTTAACAATACTAGTCTAAACATGGATAATACGAACAAAGAAAGCTATAATTGCAAGAAACCAAGCCGCGCCCGCATGCTTTAACCCGACTACAACGCATAAGTACTCGTCACCTCACATATACGTTGTTCCCAATATTTAAACATGAAGCAAATAGACAAACAAGTCTTATTCCCTCAAGTCAAGGTTAACCACGACACTTACCTCGCTCCGAAGACCAAACTCAAAGCTCAATCACAGCTTTTTCTTTCAAACAAGCCTCCGAACCAATAGAATCTAACAATATACCAACCAAACGATTCAATTTAAGCATTAGGAACTACCCATGATTGTAAAGAATTCAATTTAGGCCATTATTGAAAAAGTCAACAAAAGTAAACACCCGGGTCCGCTTGGTCCAAACCCGAAATTTGGACCAAAACCTGATTACCCATTCACCCCCGAGCCCGATTATGTAATTTATTTTGGAATCTGACCTCAATTTGAGGTCTAAATCCCCCTTTTTTTAATTTTTTAAATCCCTAATTTTACCCAAAACCCCCAATTTCCACCATGAAAATTTTAGATTTTAGGTCGAAATCTTAGGAAAAGTAGTGAAAGATTGAAAGAAACTAGTTTAGAATCACTTACCAATGATTTGGGGAAGAAAGGTTCTTTGGAAAATCGCCTCTAGGGTTCTTAAGTTTGAAAATTTGAAGAATGAATCAAAAATCTCGTCTAAGTCATATTTGATGAGGTGCAGATGTCGCATTTGCGACCCCGCAAATGCGAAGAAACCATCGCAAATGTGAAGCTCTCCACACTTCTGCTTTCCTCGCAAATGCGAAGAATGGTTCGCAATTGCGAACAATGATCTCCGCAAATGCGATCATTTGATCGCATTGCGATCACTATCACCCCCTGTCCCTCTTCGCAAATGTGAACTCAGGCCTTCCCAGCTACTCTTCGCAAATGCGATGATTGACCTCGCAATTGCGAGGTTTGAGGCATGCAATAAAACTGAAGCACACCAGCAATGCTCAAAGTCTAATTTTCACTCCGTAGACTATCCGAAACTCACCAGGGCTCTAAACTAAAAGTGCACACAAGTCTAAAAATATCATATGAACTTGCTCGCACGATCAAATCGACAAAATAACACCTAGAACTATGAATCGGACACCAAAATCAAATAAAATTTTCAAGAAACTTTAGAATTGCTATATTAACAACTGGACATCCGAATAACGTCAAACCAACTCCGTTTCTCACCAAATTTGACAGACAAGTCATAAATATAGTATTGGACCTATACCGGGTTCCGAAACCAAAATACGAACCCGATATCCAAAAAAGTCAAATATCGGTCAAATATTTCAAAATCATTAAGCCTTTAACTTTTAAATTTCAACAAAGTCCGATAACTCGGGCTAGGGATTTCGAAATTCGATTCCGAGTATACGCCCAAGTCCCAAATCACGATACAGACTCACCGGGACCGTCAAAATATGAATCCGGGTCCGTTTGCTCAAACCGTTGACCGAAGTCAACTCAAGTGGATTTTAAGGCAAAATTTCATATTTTTCTTAGTTTTTAACATATAAGCCTTCCGGAAGAACACCCGGACTGTGCATGCAAATCGAGAAAGGTTAAAATAAGGTTTTTGAGACCTCGAAACACATAATTAGGTTCTAAAATCTAAGATGACCTATTGGGTCATTACAATTTTACAAATATGTTGGCTATATTCTCGAGTTTTGTTTGTATTCTACCTTCCCTATCCTTCAATTGAACTATTGCTTGTTGGAGTTTTCTATGCTTAATGACAAATTATATCATTACCTTGGAACTAATTGTACTAAAATCTTGACGGACCGCCAAAAGCTCTAATGTATGAGCACAAACTTACCTATAGCAAATCAAAAAGTTGCACGGTGTATCCGCTAATGAGATTGATCTTGGTGGAATGTCCCCGTTTTAACTGGTCTTAATAAAATGTCCCTGCTTTTGACATGAACACCATAGTTCGTCAAAGTTTAAAGCTTGAAATTCTTGTTGTGTTGGAAAATAGAAGTTAATGATTGATTATTGTTAACATCATTTGAATGCTGATAATTTATGCAGAAATTTTAATTCAAACACATATTTTGATGATTTACTATAAAATTTCAAAACTTTATTATTGGAACTTATGAAGTGTTAAAGAAGACAAAGTGAGCCTCTATGTTATTTGATTAAATCGGTGATTGAGGATATTTTTGTTTGTAGTTGGAAGTTTTGTTTCAAATTTGAGATAATTTGGAGTAGATTTGGAATAGTTGATTCGAAATCGAAGTTGCAAATTCGAAAAATACTTTAATAAAACTACCCAAAAAAAGTATATCAATCAGGTAGACTTCGATGAACAATTTAAGAAATAAACAAAGTAAATATAACATCTACTCTATCAATCCGGTAGAGAAATTTTGAAAAGCAAAAGTATGACAATTAGGTAGACTTTAATGAACAATTTCATCCAATAGAAAAACCCCTTAAGAGATGTGTGCATGTCAAGAGGGCTATTTTTTAAATACTACCATATTTGGCTAAGACCAACCCTTTGCGGGTCTCCATTCCCATCATTCTCCCATAGCAAATACACACTTGCCATATATCGAACCATCCAACTCAAACTACCAATTTTGCTACTTTTGGTCGATCTTAATCGATGTTTTGTTCTACCTCTCCTCTTCGTTCTCTAATTTGTAATTCTATAGTGCAACAAACTAGATATCTTTATAAGATTATTTTTTTTTCATTAGTAGTTCTACAGAGGAAAGAATGTCATGCTCTATAAATACCAGATTGTCTTAATTTTTTTCTACCAATCAGCGCATCAATTTTAAGGGAAACCTTTGCCCGATATGAATTGTCAACTCTTGATCAAGACGGTGATCTAACGGTAAACCTTCACTAATATAATCTACAACACCTAAGAGTAGACTAAATAATCAAATCAGAACAAGACAATCCACCCACAAACATGCATATATTGTCAAATCCAGGATTAAGAGATTCTCTCTACAATGCCCACATAGGATCAAAACAACAATGATCACATATCCAGTCTTTGTAATGGATGATTCTGCCTATCATATTTTATTTCCTCCCTTCTTGCGCACCTGCTGTTGTGTTCTTCAGTATCTGCAGATTTAACAAAACAAGTCAAACCCCAAATGTATACCATTTTCTTTTACTTACTCCTATTGAAATTACAACAATAAAAAACCCGGTATAATTCCACCAGTGGGGTCTGGATCTTACTCCTATTGAAATTGAAGTTGATTAATAGAAGTCTGTTTGTGTGGTATCAGACAACCAGATAGCACAACTATGAAATTTAACAGGAGAATTGATTGACTTTGGTAGCAGTACCAAAGAGAATGATTGAGATGGGCTTACATGAAGCAACATAGACAGTTAAAGTTCACATAGCCGACCCCAACTTGCACGGGATTGAGACGTAATTGTTGTTGCACCAAAGAGTATATAACTGGCCTTAACATCCCTATGTGGTCTGAATGGATTTCCTTCAGTTGTTGGCTTTATTACCTGGCTAAAGGCAATTCTTTCTCTTAACAAGAAACAACTACTCACCTAGACAAGAGAGTGGATCTAGAAAACTGAACTTAATCCAGTATTGGTTAATTGATTTTAGAATTAAACAAGACATACATCAACATGGATAGTTACAAAGACAAAGGAACTTCTACCTATTCCATGCCTCATCCTGCCAGGATTTATCGACTAAACTAGACCGAAGGTAAGTGACATCCTACCCCCCTAATTCGGACCAGCACAACCTATGAGATAAGACAATAGGTTAATGGTGAAAAAGATAAAACTTACGAGATCAGACACTAGGTTAATGCTGAAAAAGGAACCGATTAGATTAGACAATAGGATAATGGTCACACCAATGAAACCAGGTGAGACCAGATCCTGGAATAAGAAGCTAAAGATTTAAGAGCAGAGAGCCAATGCTTCAGATAATATCTCACTGACCAACTGTCATACTCCTATAGAACAAATTGAACTTCTCCTAACCAGCAATCTTACTGGAGGAATGATTAAGCAGCATTTGAAGCGTTTTTGCCTGGTTGTAGGAAGTTCCTATGTTAGTTAGCGGCATCTGCTACTAGAAACAGTTAAGTCAGCGTTTTAATCGTGATAAACCTAAGGTTAACAGTTACATAGCATTGCATTCCCTAAGATGTCTTTATTGATATTCACAGCAAGAGCTAGACTTAATTCATTCTTGTTTTAAGTCTGAAACCCCAGCTAACTTGAAAGAGAGATAGCAGAAGTAAGTCCAGAAGAACAGGTAAGCACCAATCTCACTGGCAAGGTACAGAAAGTATTAAGAAAGGGTGAGTATGAAATGACTATGCCATTTAAGAAAAGAAGAGGCTGAAGAATGTGTATGGATTCAGAGATGACATTAGCTCAAAATTAAAATAAAAAGCTAGTGTTATCAGTTCATGCAACAGTGACAAGCCTTTAATAGCTGTTTGCAGTAATATCTGCAAAAAATAAGGTAATATCTGCAGTTTCCAAGTGACATGAATTGGTTTCCGAGATTTACTACAAGGCAATAACTAAGAATAAGAAGCTGGCATCACATCGCATGGATGATTAAGCAATTCCTCACATTTCTTGCAAGCATATATACTACTAGTAAAGAACTCCAAAAAATTGAGCTAACAAAGAGAGGAATCTACAGGAGCACTTTACTCATCAATTATTTGTTGAGCTTAAGTGCTACTAATTAAATTTGCATTTGATGGTTAGTAAAAAGGGATATTTTGAGCATTTAGATGGGTACAAAGCTGCAGTGCTTTAATTCATGTTCAGAAGCAGGCACATTGATATTGCTGTGGGATTACATCATACCAAATGTAATTTTAGGATGCTGAAATCATAGCATAGTATTAATATGATAGTCATACTTTTAACTCCTCCAGAATGTTACCCAAAAAAAAAAAAAACTGAACCAGACGAATGGCAGGGATTACCTGCTTAAGATAAAACTCTTTTCATCAACTTAGCAGCTGCTTTTAGATAATCTTATTATCAACGTAAATCTGCTCATAACCAAACTAATCTCAAGAATATTATTGATTCAACAGGAAAGACGAGAAAGGCTACTTAACCTTATAACAACGGCTCAAGATCTATCATTGCTGCACAGTTAAGAATTTATCTTTCTAATTCCTACCTATTACAGGCTACATTTGCTAATACTGACAGTTTTGTACTTACACTGCTTTAAACAAAAAGAATAACCAAAATTACATTTAAAATGAGCAAAAGAAAGAAAAGCAGATCCACATGATATGTCAATATAACTCAACCTTTTAAGGAATGGGACATGACACATGTCAAAGGAATGAAATGATGGTATAGTACTTAACTAGAGAATGACATAGCAAGCAATTTAAAGGAAGCAACAAGTAGTAAGAGTAACAAGAAAATTTACATGTCTAAGCATCTGGTTCTCATTTTGCAAAGTGGATAACCTCTCTTCAAGTTCTGCATTTTTTGTTTCCAATTCTTTCACCCTTGCTTCTAGGTCTATCAAGTATGCTTTCTTCCTCTCCCTTGCTTGCTGTGCTGAGACTCTATTTCTCAGCAACCTTGTCTCACCCAACATTGCCCACACAAAAATACAAGATTAACTAAAAGTACTAAAATACACTAACACTTAAAAAAAATTTGACACTATCAGTATACTTTAATTGTAACCAACAAGCAACATGCCATTTATCAGAAAACGTTGAAAGAGATAGGTATGAGTATGGAAGCCCATAACAGCGACACGTCAAGTGGGTTCAGAAATGACAAGTCTACATACCTACGTGGCATGACATGATTGGATAAAAGGATTAAAAAAGAACCACTTTTTGTTTTTACCTTTTTAGCCTCTTGTTTTCTTTGTCAGCTGGACTTCTTCCTCTCTTCCTTTGAGTCCCAGCTGACGGCTGAGTTTGACCGGTGGCGGAAGTGCCATCTCTACCAGAAGCTGAGGTGGTTCCGGTGGCTTCTCCGCCCATCTCCGGCACTCTTCTGATCTCATCATCACTCTCCATACCTTCACAAAACACTAAACAACCTCAAAAAAAAAAACATTTTTACTCTTAACATTCTTTCATCCCCAATAACCTAACTTTCTCAAAATCTCGGCCTTACCTACAATCCAAAATCACACATTCTTCTAAAACCCACCTTAAAAACTCCAAAATTAACTCAAAAAGCTGGGTTTTCCCCCAAAAATATAACATCATAAGTGCAAGTTCAACACTTCAAAAATTGAGTTGGATGAGTAAATGGGAAAAATGAACCTTCTTTGACTTCAGAAACACTTCACTTCAACATTACTCCTCCCCAAGAACCCACCTTTCTCGAAAATAAATGATAGCCAAAGTCCAAAATCACACATTTCTCGCAAAACCCACCTCAGGAATTCCAAATTTTAATTCTTTACCAGCAAGAAATTTCAGAAACAGGCTAAAGATTGAATTTTGAATAAAAAACAAGGAAAATAAGAGGGGAAGAATTGAACCTTCTTTAACTTCAAGATGGAGAGCAGAGCTAGAAGATCTCTCACTACTTGAAGGTATAGAACTAGCAGCAATGGAACTGGTCGCTTGTTCTTGCATTTTCAAAGACAAAAATGTAAATAAAAACAAGTTAGAATTTAGATAGTATGAAGAGTTAAGGGGGTTATGAATATTCAGATATTTATCTGACAATGTCGAGAAAAAATATAGCGGGACATGAATGTTACAGTACTAAAGCAAAGAAGAGTGGGGAGTGAGGAAGCAAGTTGATGGAACAAAGACCGTTGGATCAGTTTAGATCGGACGGATATAAAGGGGTAATCGTGGATAGTTTTGGAGCCATAAGGTGTTGGCTTAATCAAAGGTTGATATGAGAGTATCGTGGAGGAATTTTAGCCTTTGGATTCGGATATGATTAAAGGTTTGGATTAATTGATTGAATTAGGTACGATATTGGGACCAGCTATCTGCTGGCTAAAATAAAAGTGCTATTGGTTTCTGGACTTTCGAGCCAAACTTGCTTTTACTGTTTTGCCCACAATAGATATTTCTCAACTTGAGAAAATATTGAATTTAAAGTTTTATGCACATTTGGTTCATGGAATCATGTGAATATTGTTACAAGGAAAGTATTGATCATAATAAACAGAGTTGCTATGCAAAGATTACCTAACTCAAGGGCAATTTTTACTTTAATTATTTTTATTTATACATTGCTAATATACAGATTTTTATTATATTCCACATAAAATATACATAGATCATAACTTATACGAGTGTTAATATGAGGAGCATAATATCACTAACTAAATGCTTCATTGGTTATGCATAGTTTTATACAACCAATCAAATGTACATCAGTATATCGAAATTTTATTTTGGGATTACTCTTGTTCATGCTATCAACCAAAATCAAAGACCGGACCATTAATGTGGACCATCTAATCTCACTTGGAATGAATTCTTCCTAAATTTTGTGACTATGCGTTGTATGGAATATAAATACATCACTACATCTCCTACTAACAACATCAACACCTCTCCAATAACGGTAAAATGGAGCCCCATGATAAGTGGGGATTTTGATTGCTTTTTAACGCCTTTTAACTTTTGTTTCAGTCTAAAAACATTAAATTATGCTCCAGGAATTAATGAAATTGTATAAAATTACAGGAATGCTAGAAGTTGGGCTCCCGAGATGAAATCCGACTCAAAGAGGAGTAGTCCAAGTACAAGGCAACAAAGGGCACAGAGGCACACAATGTGCGGTCCGTAGAAGGAATTTTGCTGCCGCAGAAGAACTTGCGGACCGCAAAATTCCACCTGCGGCCGCAAACAAAGAAGGAAAACTCAGCAAACCATGTAGATTTCTGCGGCCGCAGAAAATTATCTTGCGGTCGCAATCCTACTATTGCGGACCACATAAGAGTGACTTGCGACCGCAGTTCTAAATCTGCGGACCGCAAAAATGTTGTCTCGCCCCCGCAGTTCAGAATTGTGCGGCCGTAGAATCCCAACTCGTGCCAGATGAAGAAGTCTGCGGACCGAACATGGAATTGTGCGGCCGCAGAACCTCCCGAGGGGCATTTTTGTCAGAAATTTTCAGACTTGTATAAATAGAAGAGTTTCACGAAATTAGGTCAAGTTTGAACATCAGCAATCACTCTAGCCGTTTTTCTTTGCCATTTTTGGAAGTTTATTTTGCTTTGGTGTATTTTACAATAGATTTAGTCATTTTAATCTTTAATTATGAGTTTAATTAGTCTTTCTTCTTCATTTTCTTCAACCCCAAGTATGAGTAGCTAGATGTTTACTAGGGTTGTGACCCAACCCTAGTCTGTAAACCTTATGGGTATTTAATTTAGGGCTTGTTTATGATTGAGTATTTATTATTTAGCTTAGTTCATGCTTTATTTTGAGGAATTAATAGTTACAAACATTAGTTCATGCCTATTTGACTTAGTCTCTTCTTGAGAAAGAGAGACCTGGTCTAGGATAACTTGGCTAACAAAGAATTGGGTCAATTGACAGATTGATTTACCAAATTAAAGGGTCCAACCTAGAGATAGTAATAACCCGACTTGAGCTTCTATCAACTGTTTTGTGTGTTATCCATTTGATCTTGAGAAATACACGCCAGTCAATAGAATAAGCATTAAAGTCTTTATCCCATTAGGCAAACACCTATGTAACGGTCATAGCCCTAGGCTCTTTATCAATTTAGAAAAACCCCAAAAATAATTATCTCTAATTTTTTTTCTTTATTTGGCAATCAATAGAGTAAAATTAGAAATAGAAAATCCATCTTTTTGTGGAAGTACAATCTCAATAATTCAATCATGCACATTGAAATATATACCCCTAAATCCCATCTTAGCTCCCTGTGGATTCGACCCTGACTCTTAGTTGGGTTTGTATAATTGCAAACGACTGTTTCATACCTCTTTTGAGTTGTGCAATTGGACGCGATCACTCCCTAATGTCAAATGAACTAAAACTCAACATTGGCGGGTGTTCAAAGGCAGCTATAAAAAGGCAGGATTGGTGAAATATTCCGGTATAAATTTGGAAACTGGATCATGGGCTACAAAATGCTCGCTTATGGCTACACGCCCACTTACATAGAACTCCTCGCGCTAAAAAGTGGACTTCTAATAGCAAAAAATTGTAATTTTCATAGCTTAGAAATTGAAACTAATGCTACTAAAATACCTCAACTGCTTTCCCATAACAATTGTTCTCTCTACTCAAACCTTGTTAATGAGTGCAGTTTATTACTGAAGGAATCGGAGAATACAATGATCCGACACAATTTCCGTGAGGGGAACAAACTTGCACATAATTTGGTAAAGGAAGGATCCAAGCAATCAAGCAATACTCCCTTATCAACAATGTTTCACCCACCGAATGTTTTTTGGAAGTTTCTACAGGAGGACAAAGCTAGAGCACCTACTACTAGATTAGTATCTACCACCGTACTAAACAAGCTAGCCGAACTTGGTAATTTTAATAGTTTTTGTACACATATGGCTAGTAGCTTCTCTGGCTCAGGTGTTTTTGATGCCCCTAATGATGATAACAACTAGGTGGGAATCCAAACTAGAGTAAGAATTTAAAAAGTAAATACGGAAGCAATAATAATAAGGAATTGAACAACTAGAACTAAAGGGCAGAAAATAAAAGATATGAAAAAATTCAAGGAAAGAATTCCAAGAACTTCCAAGAACGTAAGTTCTATAGCCTTATCAAGATCAAAGCAACAACGTCTTGATTTATTGAAGAAATCAAACGCCTTTACTTAAAAGCAAATCAAAATAATAGATTCGGATCTTGACCGCTTTACGAGTAACTTGAGACAATAATTAATAACTAGTATTAATTGCCTTCTAAGAATACCACAAAGGAATCAAAGATATCACAATAGAGAAGTAATCTTACTACTTTGAACTATGAACTAGTAAAGGTTGAAAGATAAATCTCAAAGCACAAGTAACAAAGGTTCAAAAGAACTCTCAAAGTATGATATACTTAATCAATAATGAAGTGTCTCAATGAATGAGAAGAACTCCTTATTTATAGGAGTACTAAGGCACAAAAAGTCCTTAAAATTAGGTAGGGTGGTTGCTAAGGCATAAAAAGTCATTACAATTAGGTATGATGGTTGCTAAGGAGAAAGAAAAGTCATTACAATTAGGTGGGGGCAGCCAAATCCTTTTGGGGCAGATTTGGACCTTAAAACTACTAGTTTGGGTCATTGATTTGGACTCCAATTGGGCTCCTTTTGAAACATACCCTTTTTGACCTCTTTTAAGCTCATTTTGAGCCCCTTTGGTGGACTTCAATGGCTGATTTGGTGGCCCAATCTTCCTCCTCTTGGACTTCAATTTGGATCACCAAATAATTGTAAAACTTGGATAATTCATCTACTTTGGGCTTGAGCTCTTTCTCTACAATTAAAAGCTTCTTTATTTTTCATTGAAGTCCAGCAACCTTAGAGTGTAACTCTTTAGCTTGAGATCTTGTAAATGGCCTTGGAGCTTCCAAAACTCTATCATTTTCCTTGATGCTATCATTCCCCTTTTCTTGAAAAGAATTCGTCCCCGAATTCGATCCTACATCAAACAAAGACAAGTCGGCAACATTGAATGTAGCACTTACTTGGAACTCACCAGGTAGGTCTGGCTTATAAGCATTGTCTCCAATCCTTTCAAGGACTTGAAATGGGCCATCTCCTCTAGGGTGAAACTTTGACTTCCTTTTGGAGGAAAATCTCTCATTTCTAAAGTGAACCCAAACTAAATCTCCAGGTTTAAAAATAACTTGTTTTCGACCCTTATTCTTTCTCAAGGCAGTTTGCTCATTTTTCTTCTCAATTGCAAGCCTTGTTTGTTCATGAATTTTTTTCATCATCTCAGCCTTTGTCCTACCATCAATATTAACAATATCATTAGTAGGTAATGGTAATAAATCAAGGGGAGTTAAGGGATTAAAATCATAAACAACCTCAAAAGAAGACATACGTGTAGAAGAATGGATTATTCTATTGTAAGCAAATTCAATCATAGGTAAGTGATCCTCCCAAGAAGTTAATTTACCTTTCAAAACAGCCCTCAACATGTTTCCTAAGGTTCTATTAACTACTTTAGTTTGTCCATCAGTTTGTGGGTGACAAGAAGTAGAAAACAACAATTTAATGCCTAACTTCCCCCAAAATACACGCCAAAAGTGGCTCAAAAACTTAGCATCCCTATCACTAACAATAGTTCTAGGTATACCATGCAATTTTACAACTTCTTTTACAAAAAGATCAGCAACATGGAAATATATACCACATGGAAATATCTTTTGAAGCATCATTAGTCTTTAAACAAGGAATAAAACGAGCCATTTTAGAGAACCTATCTACCACAACATATATACTATCCTTACCATACCTTGTTCTAGGCAAACCTAACACAAAATCCATAGAAATATCAATCCAAGGTGAAGTAGGAACAGGTAGTGGCGTGTAAAGACCATGTGGTAACACTTTAGATTTAGCTTGTTTACATTCCAAACACTGTGCACACATTCTTTCAACATCTTTTCTCATTCCAGGCCAAAAGAAATTTTCAGCAAGTATGTCTAGCGTCTTTGGGACTCCAAAGTGACCCATAAGCCCTCCACAATGTGCTTCCCTTACAAATACTTCACGTAAAGAGC